TTTTTTTTACGTGCGTTTCTTTCTTCCTTCCTTTTTGTCTTACAACTTTTTCTTATTCTTTTATTCTTTGTTTCTTTCCTTATTTTCTTTTTTTACTTGCATCGGTTTGGTATTCTTTGTTTCTAAATGTTTTTTTCTTACAAATTTTTATTTCCTTCAGTCTTCCTTTTTTTTCTTTTTTACTTAAATTTTTTTTTTTGGGTGGGGGGCTATTCTTTGTTTCAATTACTTTCTTTCTTTCATCTTCTTCTTCTCTTACATTTTTCGCTATTCGTTTCTTTCAGTTTCGTTCATTCTTTCTTCATTTTCATCTTTTCTTACATCTTTTTGGTATTCTTTCTTTCATTTTCTTTGTAGCTTTGTTTCTTTCAACTTTTGTTTCTTTTCTTACATCTTTTTAGTATTATTTCTTTTTTTCACTTTCTTTCTTTCTTTCAACTTTTACTTCTTTTCTTACATCTTTTTAGTATTATTTCTTTTTTCACTTTCTTTCAACTTTTGCTTCTTTTCTTACATCTTTTTAGTATTATTTCTTTTTTTTTTCAATTTCTTTCAACTTTTCCTTCTTTTATAACATCTTTTTAGTATTCTTTTTTTCTTTCACTTTCTTTCTTTCAAATTTTGCTTCTTTTCTTACATCTTTTTAGTATTATTTCTTTCACTTTCATTCTTTCAACTTTTCCTTCTTTTTTTACACCTTTTAAGTATTCTTTCTTTCTTTCATTTTCATTCTTTCAACTTTCCCTTGTTTTCTTACATCTTTTTAGTATTATTTCTTTCTTTCACTTTCTTTCTTTCAACTTTTGCTTACATATTTTTGGTATTCTTTTTTTCACTTTCTTTCTATCTTTCAGCTTTTGCTTCTTTTCTTCCATCTTTTTCTTATACTTTCCTTCTTTGGCCTTATGATTTGCATTTTTCTCTGACTTCCATTTCTACCTTTCTGACTTTTCGTTCATCTTTCTTTCACCATTCATTTTTTCATGCTTCATTTTTTTTTCTTCCAATTTCCAGAAAATTCTGTTCAGAATTTCTTCATTCAATTTCTTTCATTATTTCTTTAGCGGTTTAATCCAGTTGTCTCGCTTTCTCTTTCGTTATGTCCTTGCTTTTCTCCATTTTTTTCTTCATACTTTCTTTAATTCTTTATGCTTATTTTTATCATTTTCCTCGTTCTCATCTGCTTTTTATTACCCCACACGATTTTTTGTTCATCTATTCGTTCGTTGTCTTCTGTAATTTCTCAATTGATTTTTTTTTCATTTTACTTCCTCTAACGCCGTCTTCTTGACTTTAATAACATCAGTGTTTATTTGTTTTCACTTTCTTTCTTCCGCATTTCTATTTTTCTCCTTAATTATAATTTTTGTTTCCCTTTTTTCCTTCTTTTTTTTACTTTTTTTCTATTCATTTGGCAATATACGATATTCTTTTTCCTCATTCTTATCATGATTATTAATTTGATACTTTTGTAAGTTTCCACTTTCGATTTTACAATATTCCTTATTTATATTGTCTATGTAATTTTTTTATTAATTTATTTCTCTATTCATTTATTTCTGTTGCTTGACTTGTTGATTTAAAACATTGCATATTCATATAAAAAAAAAAAAAAAAATGAAAAATGCCATTGCCCGGAATGTTGATATCTTCTGCTTCAGTGAATGTTTTCCCGCGTTGTATCCACACTTTTCCGTTATTTTCATATCTTTGTTTCTGATTTTCTTTAAAAATATCTCAATTGGCCCTCATCCTTAATTTCATCTCTTCTTTCACACCTAAAGCTGTTCACATCTCTCTGTTTACATTTCTATTCTCATGTGTTCTACATCTTTCAATTTTGGGGTTTTATTTATTCTTTTTATTTCCCTGTTATATAGTCTTTCATCGAGTTCACTTTTCTGCCGCCATATTCTATAAGTTTGGAATCATCATTTTCTTAAATAAAGCATGAGAAAACAAAATAGCAGAATTAGCTTTAGGTTCAAACCCTGCGTTTTTCATGCTCAGTTACGTGTAAATTTTTTCTCACAGTTTCATATATTCATCCTAATTATATTTTGAATTTTTTCTGTGTGGTCTAATAGTTTTTTAGTAGATGTTTTTTAGTTGTTAGTGTTGGTTTCAAATTTGTAGCGTGCCGTTTCATCTGGCAGACAGAACGCCTGATTGCTATTAAAAAAAGGAAAAGAAAAAGAAACCACGAACCAAAAACATCAAGAAAATTTAATAAGGCATAAAATAAATATTGGAAAGCAAATAGAATTCGTCAGATTGAATAAAGAACAAAAAGTATGGTAAATAAGAGTCACGGTAGAGTAATGAATAGCGGTTTGAATTGAGGAATCGAAGAGCCGAGTTCGAATTCCAGTCGAATCTATTACATTCACTTGCGTGCTAATACCCTTGGGAAAAGTAAAAACCCTTTCTTCTCCCCCGCCATCTATGGGTAAATAGCAGGACAGACTGGGTTCTGTAGCCTTGGATGGCAACTGGTCTACCGCAGAAAGAAATGACAACCTACTGCGGGAAAAATCTGCCTCGTCAGTCATATATCAAAGATATATGATCGCCTAAGCATGTGTCACGCATGGCACATAACTGACTGACCATTGGGAAAGGTATGAATCCTCTTCTTCTCCCCCCAGCTATGGGTAAATAGCAGGACAGACCGAGTTTTTTAGCCTTGGATGGTAACTGGTCTACTGCAGATAGAAATGGCAACCTACTGCGGGAAAAAATCACTCATGGCGCATAACTGTCTGAAACATCTATTTTGTCTTATTATTTGTATTCAACCATTTTCCACACCGAGAGTAAATAGTTCCACTGCAGATCAAGTGATTACAAATCTTCACATTTCTAGTACCTTCCTCAGTATTTACGTGCTCATGTTTAGATTGATGTTCTAAAGATTGTTCGATATTTTTCTTGAAGCTCCAATTCTTAAAAGCTTATTGTAAGTCGTTTCTTCTTCTTCTCCTACTTCTTCTTCATCTTCTTGTTCTTCTTCTTCTTCTTCTTCTTCTTATTATTATTATTATTATTATTATTATTATTATTCGATGATTTGTGTTAACGACAAATATCTGATAATTATCGCTGGAATTTTAGTGACAGCAATTCTTATAAATTTTTAATTACATTCCATAGTATTCCATCATTCGCCAAAATTTCCTGGGGTCTTGACAGTGTACCTCGATTTTCTTCTTGTAGTTGTTGATAAAATACGCTCATTGTGTGCCCAATCCAGTCGTGGGAGATTATGTCAGCGCAACATTCCATCACCGTCCTCTTAGCATCGAGCTGTTTTCATCAGTCACCTCAAGTTACTTCTAACCCATTCCTAAATTCTAGTTGTTCTACTGTCTGCATTAGACAGTTAGCAACCATTGCCAACACTCTAAAAACGAACCAAACGATTCCAAAATAAAGTCATTTATTTTTGTATTAGAAGATGCAAATAGATGAGTTGCCATGAAAGAAAAGAATGGCTATTGTGGTCAGTGCATAAAGAGAAACCTATACAGGATGTGGCTTGGTTTGTTTCGTTTTACGGCACATCAACCCCAATGGGTCATTTAATGCCGACAACTTTTTTTTCTTGGTAATATATTTCTTTTTGTCAAAACTCTATTTCTGTTAATATTTTTTCCTCAAAAATTTATAGCTGGCATTAGAATTTTTTCAAAAACGTATTGCTGGCATTAGTTTTTTTTCAAAAACGTATTGCTGGCATTAGTTTTTTTGCAAAAACGTATAGCTGGCATTATTTATTTTTACAAAAACGTAGTGCTGGCATTAGTTTTTCTTTCAAAAACGTATTTCTGGTAATAGATTTTTTCTTCAAAAACGTATTTCTGGTAATAGATTTTTTCTTCAAAAACGTATTTCTGGTAATAGATTTTTTCTTCAAAAACGTATTCCTGGTAATATTTTATAATGCTTTTTACTTCAGTTTCGGGGTTAACTATTTGCCCATAGTTGGGACCCTAACAGGTGCTACCACCCGGGTCAGGGTGGACCTGGGAACACCAGCAATTAAGAGGTGGTTCCACGCTCCTCAAAACCTCCTGATCAGATGCCTTGCCTATACAGGATGTGAGAAGTACCGATGTGTAGGGTATTTTGAACAACACATATTTTAAGAAGACCAAGAATTTGATCCAGATATTTATTTGCTCTTTTTGGCATAATTCCCAGTGTTCCAGTAAAAAATAGATACTGTTGTTAGCATGAGATGCCACATTCTACTGATTTCTATATCGAGGTTCTTATATTTGCCTAGTTCCCCAAACGTTTTGAAAGATTGTTTTTTTTTTCACCATTATTACTCTTAATATTACAGTTAAGAGACGAGCAGATTTTAAGAAAAAGCTAAAGAAAAGATAAATATTCTGTTCGACAATGTTAAACGATATTTCGACGGTTTGTCTGTCTTCTTCAAGTTATATTTAAACAATTTTTTCAAGTATAAACATATATAAATCTACAAAGTCTTTGCAAGAACGCTGCTTGTCTTGCAATGAGAAACGTCTGTGCCGGTACTAAACGTGTTAAATCGAATGAAACGCTCTCCGCGTGAAGTCACGCAATAGAAACGTGCTTAATTGTTGCCAATTTTTTTTATTATGCCTCTTGATTCCTTGTGGAACATAGGGCCAGAACAACAACCTCTCTGAAAGACGCGGTTCCAGGCGATCCTCTTCAGTTTGGCCCATGTCATGCCGGCTGCCTTCACCTCTGCGTCAACACTTCTGCGCCAAGTCTGTTTTGGTCGATCCACCTTTCGCTTCGCTTTTGAATTCCAGTCAAAGGCCTTCCTGGTGACCCTAGAAATAAGCTTGCGGAGTGTGTGGCCAATCCATCCCAATTTCTGTTTTTTGATGTCAATCCCGATTCTGGCTTGTCTGGTCGTGTGCCACAGTTGGTCGTTGGAGACGACTTTCGGCCACCTGATATTGAGGATGTTCCTGAGATGTTCGTTTGGTAAATGTCTGAAGATTGTGTGTGTTGGTCTTGCTTACCCGCAGGGTTTCTGAGCCGTAATGTAGGATCGAATCGACGTTGGTATCGAATTGTTGCAAAACACATTTTTATTCATTTCTTTTTTCTTCAATCGCGCTCTTCTGTTGAAAAATATTGGAAAAATTACGTCAACCATTTTGTTTATTATTATTATTATTATTATTACTATCGTTTTTGTTGTTGTTGTTATTGTTAGTATTTAATTTTATATCCTCTCCGACTCTTGAGGTGTTTCTGCCGGATAAATATGACCATATCTCAGCTCCTACGCGCAGATAAGAGAAAAACCATTTTCTTCAGCACATGAGCTGTTCCAAGATGTATTGCTACGCGCTCACTCCCAGTGATGTCAGTTATCCGCAAGGCGTCCGATGTAACAGAAAAAAATCTGGAAATAGTCCAGTGTTCGCCAGCCACAAAGGGACGACATGACCTGCAGTTTGATACATTTCTCTGAATTGCTACGACTATTATTATTATTATTTTCTTTCCTTTGGTTTCCGGTGTATAACAATTTCTTTCCATTTCTTTTATTGATATATTTTTTTATCAGAGAAAATGGCCATGTCTATAAGATATTATTTACGATATCTAATACTTAAGTATCGTATATTACTGCGTTTAAGGCGACATTCAATTCTCAGAAATTACTCCCCACAATAGGCATTGGTAAGTAGGCTATATGTTTGCCCCACGGATCGCAGTAGGCTGACACCTCCTTCAGTATGGTAGGCTGACACCTCCTTCAGTATGGTAGGCTGACACCTCCTTCAGTATGGTAGGCCGACATCTCCTTCAGTATGGTAAGCTGACACCTTCTTCAGTATGGTAGGTACCGATGTAAATATTTCTTATTAAAATAATTCACATTATAATGCTTCACTAAAAGTTATAATGTAATAAAACTACTTTTACTTCTTGATTTCACATTAACTTACAATATTCAAGACACGATGAAAAAAATATGTAAAAGTTCCGCTGGGCAACACTCACAAGTAACAAGTAACGTAAACAAATCTTTCGTCCTTGATTTTTTAAGCCATG